CCTAGTCCATTGTTTCTCCACCCCAGCAACTTTAAGACGTGTGGACTCCGACTCCCAGAATTCCTGAGCCAGCATGGCTCAGCTTGGAAACCTCTCCCTTTCCCCTCAGCATGGCTGGCTCAGGAATTCTGGGAGTTGAAGTCCACGAGTCATGAAGGGGCAATAGTTCCCCCATGCTGGCTCAGGAATTCTGGGAGTTGAAGTCCACGAGTCATAAAAGAGCCAAGGTTGCCTACCCCAGGGAATCACTTGATTGTTAAGTGGATCTAGCTTCCCCTACTGACTTTGCTTGTCATAAGGTCGCCAAAGGGGATCACGTGACCCCCGGCGGGACACTGCGACCGTCATAAATACGAGTCAGTTGCCAAGCGTCCCAGTTTTGATCAGGTAAATGTGGGGGATGCTGCAACACTTATTAAATGTGAAAACTGCTCATACGTCCCTTCTTTTCACTACCATTGTGACTTCGGTCATTAAACCAACGGTTGTTAAATTGAGGATTTAACTGCACCAGGTTGGCACAGAGAGAACAGGATTCCCAAAGCATTATTGTACAGCATCCCCCCCAAAAAAAGGCTGGATTCCCCCCCCCAATTTTCATCAACATAATAATAATAATAATTATTATTATTATTTGGTATTGACAAATTCACTATTAGTCAATTGCAAAAGGCGGCCTTACTAGGAACCGCTTCCATCCTGCGACGAGATCTGTAATACCGTCAAACATCCACATCTGCCTATCCCAGGTCCTGGGTGAGGACTCAATAGGTAGACAAAATGCCAAATCCAGTCTGAACATCTGGCTGACTGTGCGATGATCCATAATAATAATGTTGGAAGGGACCTTGGAGGTCATCTAGTCCAACCCCCTGCTCAGGCAGGAAACCCAATACCCAATTCCAGCAACCGTTTGAAACGGAGGGTCCGTCTCTAGTTCTGCTTTGCTGTCCTCCTTCATACTTTACAGGTAGTCCTTGACTTACGACCACAATCGGGATTAGAAATCCTGTCGCTAAGTGAGGCAGTCATTAAGTGAGTTCTCGTCTGACCTAACCGGATTTTATTTTTTTTGCCACCGTCATTTAAGTGAATCGTGCAGCCATTAAGCAAATACGGCTTCCCTCAATGACTTTGCTCATGTGGGAAAGTCGTAAATGGCCATCACCTGACCCCACCTGAAGATTTATCACCAGACTGTGGGGACCCCGAGTCGGTTGCAAGTGTGAGGACCTGTCGCAAGTCACTTTATAACTCCCAACGGACACTAAAAGGATGGCCGTTAAGTCGAGAACCACCAGTACCTTTTGATATTGATCCTTCTGCTGGATTTGGAGAAGATCTCCTTCAACCCTCTAAAATTATAAGTCTCCCGCCCTCCCTCGCCCCACGGCACCCCGTGCCTCTTACTTGGGGTCCTTGACCAGCAGCCTCCGAATGAAATCCTTGGCCAGTTCGCTGGTGTTGCTGAAGTATTCCTCGTCAAAGTCGTAATTCACCGCCGAAATGTTGGTCAGGGTCTCCTGCTTCGTTTCCCCCAAGAAGGGAGAGGCACCGCTCAGCCTGAAAAAGGAAGGGTCCCGTGTCATTATTAAACACAAAGGCTCTTGCGACTTGACACACCGAAGCCCCCTGCCCAAGCCACGATAGAATAGCAGAGTTGGAAGGGACCTTGGAGGTCTTCTAGTCCAACCCCGTGCTCAGACAGGAAACCCTATACTATTTCAGACAAATGGTTGTCCAATCTCTTCTTAAAAACTTCCAGTGTTGGAGCATTCACCGCTTCTGGAGGCAAGGAGTTCCACTGGTTAATTGTCCTAACTGTCAGGAAATTTCTTAGTTCCAAGTTGCTTCTCTCCTTGATGAGTTTCCATCAGTTGCTTCTTGTCCTGCCTTCAGGGGCTTTGGAGAACAGCTTGACTCCCTCTTCTTTGGGGCAGCCCCTGAGATATTGGAAGACTGCTATCATGTCCCCCCTCGTCCTTCTCTTCATTAAACTAGACATACCCAATTCCAGCAACCGTTCTTTATATGTTTTAACCTCCAGTCCCCTAATCATCTTTGTTGCTCTTCTCTGTACTCTTTCTAGAGTCTCAACATCTTTTTTACATCATGGTGACCAAAACTGGATGCAGGATTCCAAGTGTGGCCTTACCAAGGCCTTGTAAAGTGGTATTAACACTTCACCTGATCTTGATTCTCTCCGTTAATGCAGCCCAGCACTGTGTTGGCTTTTTTGGCAGCTGCAGCACACGGCTGGCTCATATCTAAGTGATTGTCCACTAGGACTCCAAGGTCCCTCTCACAGTCACTACTATTGAGCAAGCAAGGCCAACACCTCAAGTGAGAACAGGAGCGAAGAAGCGACCAAGAAGGGGTGGGTTCTTCCTGTATGTAACGGGTGCAAATCACGCAACTTTAGAACAGAGTTCCCCAAACCTTCGGGGCTGGCGGTCTGGAGTCGGGGGGAGGGGAAAAAGGAATGGTTTTGTGGGGGGCGACGAATGCCTGCGTGCATGCGCACAAACACCCGTTGCTCATGCAAGTGGGGCCGTGAGTGCTCTCAAGCGGGAACGCAAACACCGCAACACTCATGCAGTACTCGCGCCAGTGGGGCTGTGTGCATGAACACACATGCGCGCACCGGCCAGCCACTTACGCGGCCCGGTGGCCAAGCCCACAGGTTGGAGACCCCTGCTCTAGAATGCAGAATTGTGGAGATGGAAGTCTATGGAGGTTCTCAGCCATCCAGGCCCCTGGTTGTCCCAAAAGTGCTTTTCCAGGAGACAACTGGACTTCCTTTGTTTTTCTTTGAAGATGTTTCGCTTCTCCTCCCGGAAGCTTCTTCAGCTCTGACTGGATGGTGGGGAAGGGAAGGATTTATACTCCTTGCAGACAGCTGGTCGTTTGCCTTCTTTTAGAGAGCCGTTGAGGCCACTTGGAGATTTACCTGTGTCCTCAGGGTCACCTGAGTGGTGCAAATGGGTGTGGAACTGCTGAAAGGACTATGGAGATGGAAGGGAGTCTGGTGGAGTCTAACTTTTCTCAATCCTAGCAACTTTAAGAGGGGTGGGTTTCCATTTCCAGAATTCTCCAGCCGGCACAGCC